TGCCCAATCAACACCTCTCTCTTCCTATCTCTCTTAGTAGAGATATCAACTTCCTTCATTGGAACGGTACTCTTGCAGCAGCTCACGAATAGAAACCTGTTGCAACACTTTGCGATGATACTCCTCAAAAGTTCCGAATCGAGTCTGTCTTTGGCGATTGTAATCGAGATGAATGGCAGCATCCACACATCTCCAAGTGTTCATGTTCGTATTCAAATACGCTGCTGCTTCCACAATATCTTCCACCCTGCGAGAACTGTCAAGATAGGACAGGTGTGCAAGTGTCTTTTTGGGACCAATAGATTCAAGAGAGTCATAGATCGCAATGTTAAAATTATAAGAACTTGGTTGTTCCAAGGGTCCTGTATAGACATGGAGATGGTCTCTCGACGGCGTGGGAGCGGGCACAATACAACCGACAGGAGACGGAGTAGCCGTAGCGGCAGGCGAAGCAGAAACAACAACAGAAGTAGTGATAATCGACGCTGACATAGTGCATGGGGGAGCATAATCGGGAAGACGTTGAAAAGTTGGAGGAGATGCTGCTGGAAGGGGGAGTCTACGGACCGGAGCGGAATGAGGAGAGGAAGAAGGAACCATCGGAGGAATCCTTTTTAAAAGGCGTTGTATCCGTGCATATCTGAAAAAAGGTTGGGAATAGGCCCTTCTGTCGGACAATCTGGCAAATCAAACGTCATTCTAGCGATCTCCTCACTCGTCCTGCAAAAGGGATTGTAACATCCAAGAAGCCTCTAAATTTGAAACATTCAATGAGTTTGAAGGACGAGTCTCAGGAGATTTTCGTTCCAACCGCATATCTGTGAGTTTGCTTCTTCCCCAGTCCAAAAACTTTTCCCATATATTTTCATCCTTTGCAACGCTCGCAGTTTGGACAAACATTTCAAAAAGCACCTCAGTCAAGACTTTTTGCAGGCCAACCTTCTTTGCATCGTCGAACCATTTGCCAAGGTAAGCACGCGGATTCGGAGTGTCGATTGTGGGTGCACCCTTATTATGAGGCACCACAATAACAGTTGAAGGATTTTGTGGTTGTGATGTGGTGCAAATATCTCTTTCGCGTTGACTGTGTTGAGATTGTGAACACGAATCGTGAACACGTGCACGTCCAGGGAGCCGTCCACGAAACAGAAGAGGTGCAAGTTCATCGGTACAGATGTCATCCAGCGCTCTCAAAACCTGAGTTGTCGTTTCACTAACAACCAGTTTCCGTTCCTCCCTATTCGTAGCGAACGCACGCTCGAGCATTCCAGCTGAACACACATCATCAGTTGTATTAATTGCTGAACTCGCATGCCCATGAACTGTAGTTGCCGCAACGGTGGATGATTTCTTTCTTTGTGCAGAGCGTTGGGATTGCGAACATGAATCACGAGCACGCACATCTCCAACAACTCCATGAGTGACAAATTCATCTTCATAATTGTGATGATTTCGGAGGGTCAGCTTACCAATTGGAGTTGAACCCACGAGATTTTTTTTTCCTGAGGAACACGATTACGCTTGGCTATAGAATCAATCGCTTGAGAATCACTCATATCGCTATCATCTTCGTCATCATCGAGTAGAGACTTACCGGCCAAACCCAATGAAAAATTACGCACAGATTTGTCACGCCGATCATAATCATCGTCATAACAGTCAACATGCATTTTTTCAGCATCCTCGAGGGTGCTCGCTTGTTGATGGGCACCTTCAACTTCATCGCGCACAATATCATGACCACCAGTATGTTCATTTTCATTATCCGATGTGTCTTGTTTTTTGCTCTTCCTTGATCGCCTTGACTGGGCCCCTTGTTGTCTAGATGTAACATTTAGAGCACCATCAGTTGTATTGCTATTAACGGTTTGTTTCCTTTTTTTCATTTGAGCGCATGTCCCATAGGTATGGTGCAGTTCAGATTCGCCTGCGGGGAAAAAAAATAAATAAGTTTACCAAAATTCAACACCGGTCAGCCGGAAGAGATATATAAGACAAAAGAGAAGAACTCATTCAAAAAGTGACGCGCATGTCCTGGCAACTCGTCCGAAAGAGATATATACGACCAAGGAGAAAAAATCATTGCAAAAGTTCATGGTAAACAATATTCTTTGTGATGATTTTTTTGTCGGGCAACGCAACACGAATGTTGTTGGGATGACCAACGCGCGACAAAGCAACATACAACTGGTCATGCGCAAAAACAGGTTTGCGCAACCAAACCCCGGCACGAGAGACAGTTTGTCCTTGCGACTTGTTAATGGTCGCAGCAAACGCAAGACGGATGGGAAGCTGCCTCCTATTCCATTTAAACCCGGTGGTTTCACCATCACTTGTTAAATCGATTTTGGGGATCAGTATCGTTTCACCGGTACGCATTATGGTCACTTCCAACAAATCATCATCAACAATCTTTTTAAGAATTAACCTTGTGTCATTGCAAAGTCCTTGTTTGGGCGACAAATTGCGCAACAACATCACAGGCGCACCAATTTTCAAGCGCAGTTTGTGAGGCGGAAGACTAGACTCTTGAGAGAATTTAAGAACTCATGTTGGATAGCAAGTTCGTGATCATCAGAAGCAGGGTAATCAACACTATAACTTTCACACACCTCGCCAGGGAAATCGTTGAGAACCATATCGTTAACACACCCCGCATCATCATTGGTGACGCAGAGAATCAATCGAGCGTAAAAATAGTCAGCATCCCCAACGTGTTCACACACATCCTCAAACGTCCAGGAAATCAAATCACGAATAGGTTTATCAATGCAAATCTCATGAGGCAGTTTGACCGCGGCAGGTTCGTTAGGAACAAAACGAATACGATCCCCATTCCCAGTACGCATCAAAAACACATCATACATTGGCGCCATTGGATCATCCCCTAAGCTTAAGATCCGCATATTCTCAGTCAGGCAATGAACCTCAAAGAGTTTCCACAAAGGAGACATTTTGATAGAGGCATCAATTTGCTGCGCTCGATACCCATGCTTCACAACGGGCGAAACCTACCGAAAGTCCCCAGAAAGAAGCAAAACCTTTCCTCCAAACGGGAGGTTACTGTTACAGAGATCTCGAAGCGTAATGTCAAGAGCTTCCAAGTGGAACTTGTTACTCATCGGAGCCTCATCCCAAACGATCAAGTCCGCATGTCGGATAAGTTCGGCAAGATCACCCTGTTTCGGAATATTGAAGGGACGCTTGTTATCAGGTTTCAAAGGTGCTCGAATCCGCGAGTGAAATTTTCGACCACCGGTAAAAAGAGTCGCGGCTATCTCACTAGACGCCACAGCGAGTCCAATACCATTACGCGACCTGATCCCCGCCAAAATCGTTTTTATGCAAAAAGTCTTTCCTGTTCCCGCCGGCGCATCTACAAAAGCATAAAGCGGTTGTTTCTCTCCCACGTCCCGAACAACTCTTTGCATGAGCACTCGTTGGCGCGGCCAAAGACGGCGAAAATTAGACTCGAATCTACTTCGCATTTCAATCGGATCATACGACAACTCTTCATTTATAACCGATGACACAGTCCTGTTCTCGTAATGCCTGTTTATGTCATCAGCAACCGTTTCTCCATCAGGGGTCAGATAATAAAGACCAAACAGGCGAATGTTTTTGCCAGACTCATGCAAGATACGGTCAAAAGATCAAAGAGCACCAAACATTGCAAAACGATCGGAGGAAGAATTAGAGAGTCCGAAGGATACTGAAAATCATCACACATTTTGTCCCAATGTCGTTGAAAGAATTGAACAGGATCGTTGACCGGGCCAAACAGCAGAAGCATAGCGAACACTTTACGAACCTCTGCAGGCATATAATGGAGTGCGGCCGTATTTATACATTGATTATATGCATCATCGGTTTGCAAAAGTCATAATCGAAGACACACCGATCGGAATGAATCGTATTCGACTCCATCGACGGTACGAATTTCTGCAAAGAGCGTGCTCCACGAGAGTGCTCATGGTGTAGCAACACACGGAGATAGAAGCGTTCGCCTTCCGTGACCCTGGCATGATGCAATCGAGATATCTTTTCGAAAGGAGCACCATGAAGAGCACGCTTTCTTCTGTTCCACACCTTATGTTGATTATACCACACATGAGTTTTAATAATGTCAGGATACAAAGGGAGCTCGTGTTTAGGAACGTGCATTCAAAGAGTTGTAATCCATCCATGCCGTCAATTTTGTGGTCGGCGGTCCACGAGAAAAAACATGATCTTCCGTGTCCGGTTCGAACACCACTTTTTGTATGTTCTCGATATGCACAGGCAATCTTTCGACTGAGGGCCACTGTTTGGCAAGGTCGAACTCAAACAGGCGCCATCATGCCTCGCACGCACCAACAACACGCATATCTTGATAGGATTTGACTTCATCGACAGGTGCATCATTATCTTGTTCGCAAACCATGGCACGATCACACCCTTTATACACGTACTTATACATATACTTGCACGCCTTCATGTTAGCACAACATTCGACATTGATGTGGCAGTTAAACCTCATCAGCAAGTACGGGTTATACGGGCCCACTCGACGATTATCATAAACAACACGATTTTGAACGACCGGAAAACCACCGTCACTTGGTTTTCTTCTCCTGTAAGAAGGGTAAGTTTTTTCATCTTTGAAGGTTGTCGTGGAAATGAATTCTTTTGGAAACCCTTTAGTGCACTTCCCGTTCTCGGTACGCGGAGCATCCTGCTTGTCCTCACCACAAATGTCGTGCAACATGAATTTGACAACCCTTTCTCTCAATTCCCCTTCAGGCGGAATCTCTGCACACCCTACGTTGTCAACAGCATCTGGATCGCAGATTTTATCATCCGGATGCAAGATGACCAATATGTGTGCATGCGGCAGACCCCTTTTTTGGAACTCCACCACATACAACATTCCATCGACTCTCCCAAAGATCCGTTTTTTCTTAATCTCGTCAATGAGCTGGGTGAGATAACCTTTGAACACTCGGGCAAGAAGATCAGGCCTGTCGGTTGCACACTGACCCGGCAAGAGGGCTTGTTGGATCTCCGGCCAGTTTGTGTTACACGTCATAGTGATAAAAAGATCGGGTTTTCCAAGCCGCCTCACGATTGTCATGTTGTCATGATATCTTTCGGTCATATACCGCGGTCCCCCAGTGAAGGTGGAGGCAGAAATATTTTTGTCCCAACGCCATCACTATGCTGATTTTGTTGCACAGCGTCTCGGAGGTCCTGATAATATTCCGACCGCAAGTCTTTCTGATGAAATCTTACCCATTTTAAGCGAGGGGATTCAACCTTAGCGTAAGCCATGCAACAAAACTCGTCGAAAAGACGTGCTGCATAAAGGAGGCAAGGCCTTTCACCATCACGTTCGTGCAGGTGAAACGCATAGTACTCCTTGGCACTGAGTCCTGGCGGCCATCCAGCTTCCGAGGCACGGTGGACAGACCAACTATCAATTCCTTCCGGGAAAAGCAAAACAAACCTCAAACAGTCGTTCACTCGGGAACACTTCGGAATGACAACTGTTGCCTGCTCACCCGGAAGAGGAGCACGCAAACGAATCTCAAGCTCACGAGGAAGAAGGTCATCCGCCATGAGAACACAGACCTCCTGTAGCCCCGTCGGACGGTTGTAACGCCTCGCATGTTCGTCCGCGGGCATGGCATCCGGATTTATGACCAACTTCCTTCCATTCAACGTTCCCGGCGGAAGGTCGGCGATGGTCATGAAGTCCTTCACGTAGTTGTTACACTGTTGTAGCAACTCGTGAAACTTTTTAAGAGTCGTCTCATTCGGTGAAGTTCGGCATCAGACGTGTGTGCAGGCAAATTAAGGAAATCCACTCTTTGATCAATCGCATCATCCAAACGGTGAGGATCGTGCAAGTAAAGTTGTGCAAACCGAGGACGTTCCCCTTCCCCCACAGCCAATGCACCGACACGATGATAGATCGGACCCTGAGCTCGAAGTTGGCCCTGGAATCCCTGAACGTCATCTCTCGGTTGCTTCAACAGCGAGGATGCGAGAGATAAACTGTTATTGATTATCCTCGCATTGTTTTGAACGAATCGGTCGTTGGGAGTATGAGACGTCCAAATAGAAAGAATCTCATGCTCCGGGGACCCTTCTCGAGGCCATTCCCGAAGAGGACAACGTGTCGTACCTTTTCTGCAACATATTTTTGTCCAACTTTTTTCATGATTCCACAACTTTGCACCACAATACCTGCACGGTTCTCAACCACCAATGCCGAATGCCCGAACCGTGCTAGCATTCACAACAATAGTCACGGTGTTCTCAACCGCTGCATACGGTGTTGCCACGGGCACAGACGGGAGTGCATTCATATCAGCAGGTGGATCATCATCCAAATCATTAATTTCCTCATCCCGATTATCTAGCTCACCATGTTCCCGATTGTTCATTGAATTTTGAATCGCAACGGACGGATTGTGCGACTGCTCCGCTCTCCCCGACATACTTCGCCATTGCCTCGGTCGAGAACAATGACGATGCGTTTCCTTCGAAGAAGAAGATGCACCCCGCGACTGCCCAGAGGCGGTTGCTCGGATCTCTTGAAGGATATTAACAGGGGCCAAACTTTGCCTCACACCCCGCAAAAAATGTTTGTGAGCATGCATATCGTCGTTCCTCCTACGATTCTTAATCGCAACTCTCAATGCACGCATACGTTTAACGTGATAGTTTGGCTGTCTTTGAAGTCTCTTTTTTCGAGTGGAAATTTCATACGATACAGACCTCGGTTCATCGTCATTCATCGTACGGACTTGTTCAGTTGCATCGCCACCGGCCAGCTGTACTTTCAACAAATACCGCATGTGCATCAAAGTCGGGGAACACAGGGGGACATACGAAAGACAACGATCCAAGGTTCAAACGATGCGCAACTTTACCGGTACGGAGTGCCTGAAGGCACAACATACGATATCGTCTGTTACGGCTCGAACGAATCGGTTTCAATATTGTCGATCTCCTTCGGCGATTATGAAATCCAACCAACCTCCTAACCATTGCCTTCGGGGAATTTGGCAAGTTTCGCGGAGAAGAGCACGCCTGTGCATGAACCGGTGCGATGGATGCATAAAGATCAGGTTGCACGGAGCTTCGCCGCACATCTTCTGTAAATGTGGAGGACGAACCGTTTTGCACATGTGGCGAATGAAAGGAAGAATCATGAACTGGAAAGGTTGTTTCGATCGTAGGAAGAAAATTTGTCTGGACTGCATCATGCATGAAATTTTCATCAGGTCGTGCACTTCGCAGGGTGATAGGCAGATTTCCTTGGCAACGAATCTCACTCGTACCAACATTGACATTTTATTGACTCCTCCGGAAAAAAACCTGAGGGCTTGCGATACCATCCAACAATGAAATTGTTTGTTGGAAAGATAAAGATCTATCACTACATTGTTCTTCCACAGAACAATCAAGGGCGCGATCAGGAGTTATCATCGGTTGTTTGTCCCTTCCGTCAGTAGTCACATCACCCACACCACCTACCGGTTGCAGTAAAAACCTTCGAGTCCGACGACTCTGGGAAGGCGGTCGACCACGTTTGCGGTGTTCATCTTTTGATGACACTCGTGTTTCAATAGTAAAGGGACAGTGAGTAATATCAGAACGCACACACAATCCCAACCCATCATTCGACGAAAAAGAAGAATTTGGCAGCGAAGGGAAATGAACTTGAGCGGAATCAATGGCAGGAGAGTTATAACAGTTGGGTATCGTTGCAAAAGACAACAAAGGAGCGACAACAGGTCTTTCACAACGGCGAAGGCGTCTTCGACGCTTCCATTGAACGTGCGAGGACTTGTCGGCAGACGAAGCAGAGTTCGGAGCGACAAACAAATTAATGTCGCGTGAATCCTTATCTATGCTTTCATCCCCCGCCATCTGAACGGGCCTACATGCATCTCTTCTTAGGTGGCTACAGCGTAAAATTAGAACGTAAAAATCAAAGGTTATGAGGAATATGGAAGATCTAAAAATCAGCAGGATGATATATATCCCAGATTGTTCGTAGCCAAATGTAATTATGGTAGTAATAGAAAAGATACAGGGTAAAGCATTCAAAAGAAGAGAAAAATATAGTCAAATAATAAACGAAGTTGGCAAAACACAAAACGAAAAACGAACAGAGCAAAACGTTGAGTTCACGTTTTTTATTTTGTTTTCTTTTTTTTCAAATGTTTATGTCAAGGGAAATGAAGGTTAAGCAACTCATGACGTATTGTATTTTGTCTCTTTTATCCGTGCATTGTTTTTTTTTTTGTGTTCATAAAAAAAACGATAATTTCTTTTTCAGATGTTTTTTTTTTTTCCCTAGACGCCCCTTAGTCTTTTCAGGGCCCCATGGGATCGAGTCATACGTACCTCATTTATCCACGTTTACCCTTTGTCATTCCTCGACAGGGATCACTTTCCTGTTCGTATAAGTTTGTGATCGGGAATGAAGTTTTTTTTGACTCCAATTGCATTCGGTAGAGGCGGCTCCTACTTGCGGCCAGCCTTGGGTGTCCTAAGTCAGTCACCGTTCACAAAAAAATCGAAGAAGGGTAAAAGTCTTCCCCAACCTGCCCGAGTCCCAACCGCTAGGATGTAGTCTGTGGCACCCGTCCTCCTCGCCCAGGCACGAGGCCTGGATCTCAGAAGTAGGCGTTGGCTCCACCACAACAACATTGCACCACCCCCATAAATGGGTCTATGCGGCATACCGCACCTCTCCCCAGCCAGCCTCGAAGGTCGTGGTTCCAGGAAGAGTCATTCCTAGCGATTGAGGTCGGTCAAACTGTTGATGACCTCACCATTCCTCTCCTCCCTTGTTTGGGTAACTTAGACGAAATAGGAGCAAATGGGGTAAAGAACATGATTTTTTGGAACAGGCTAACATGAGAGGAGGTCGTTCGGGATAGCACGGGTGTCTTGGGAGAAAGGTTACGTTTATTGTCACTTTCATTATTTATTATCGGACGGGTTCCTTCTCCGATATTCCTTACATTACACAGTGCGACCCAACCCTCCCAACACTATTTACTTTCCTTCATGTAAGCACCTTAATGTTTTCAATGTGGAACAAAACATAATTATACGTACCTTGTTTTGGGATAAGTATGCTTTGCTTTCCTTCCACAATATGTAATCGGAGACGATGAATGTGTGTTGTTGTTGTGTTGTTTTGTTATGAGAAGGTCGCCGCTTCTACATATGAGAGAGAGTTGTTTGCTCTCTGGGAAGCCCTGGATCACTGGCGACACTATCTCTTAGGGCGTCATTTCAAAGTGTACTCGGATCATGAGACACTTCGCTGGCTCAAGACGCAGGCCCAGATGACGCCTAAGTTGACTAGGTGGGCCACTGAGATTGATCAATATGATTTTGAGCTCAAGCCAGTTAAGGGTAAATATAACGTTGTTGCTGATGCGCTAAGTCGAAGATCTGACTTCTTCGGTGCCATTGTAACATATCTAGACGTGGGCACCGATCTACAAGAGAAAATTAGAAATGCGTATTCCACAGATCCTGTTTATGGCGCAATGATTAAGCGTATGCAAGAAGCGCCTCAAAAGTTTCCTAATTATCATATTACATAGGGACTGTTGTTTGAAAGAACTGATGTGCATGACAGGCTTTGTGTTCCGAATATGGAAGAGATCAAGAGTTTGATCTTAGGGGAATGTCACGACACCGAGGACCATTTTGGGTGGAAGAAGACTTATGCAACCCTTTTGCATTCCTACACTTGGCCTCATATGAAACCCGACTGTATTGCATATGTGCAAGGCTGTGAAGTGTGCCAAAGAAATAAGAGCACCACGCAGCCTCCCCTTGGTTTACTTAAGCCTCTACCTATTCCAACCGGTCCAGGAGTCTCTGTGCCCATTGACTTTATGGACACCAAGGTAAAAAGCAGGAATGGGAAAACGCAAGTCATGGTCATCGTCAACATATTTAGTAAGTATGCTGTCTTCGTAGCTTTACCAACGGAAGCGAAAACGGAATTAGTATTTCGGGAGTTCTTTAACTATTGGGTGAAAGACTATGGGCATCCCTTGACAATCGTGAGTGACAGAGACACAAGGTTCACAAGTGAACAATAGCAGCAGCTAATGAACGTTTATGGCTCTAAGTTTACTATGTCTTCAGGCAGACATCCTGAAACTAACGGGCAGACTGAGCAAATGAACAAGATTTTGCAGCAAACGCTGCGCATGTACATCTGTCCCGATCAGATCGACTGGGACGAACATTTGCCCAAAGTTGCTAGTGCGTACAATAACTATGTTCATCTGTCCACGTGCAAGACTCCGATGGAGTTACATTTGGGATGGCGTCCGCGCAGGCCTATTGATCGGCTAAACCCGGATCGAGTGCATAAGCTTTCACTAGGAACTAGTGAATTTGCGATTCAATACCAGAAAGACATTGAAAAGGTAAAGGAAAATATTGTCAAAACACAACATCAGATGGTTGAGCAGGAAAATAAGCACAGAAGACCTTCTCGGTTTGCTGTAGGTGATCTGGTATGGGTTAAAACTAAGGAGTTTGTTCCTGAAGAGAACATCTCTCAGAAGTTGCTACCAGCCTACAGAGGACCTTGGCAGGTTCTAGATGTGATTGGCGATGTGGATGGTCCTTCGTATGTTATAGAGATTCCTCTACATCTACATACGTATCCAGTGTTCCACGCTTCGAAACTCTTACCCTGCGTGACAAATGAACTATTTCCAAGTCGCAGATCGGCAATACCTCCTAGTATGGATGGGAAGTATGATGTGGATAGAATCGTTGCTAAAAGTACCTTTCAGACTGGACGTAGAGGCAGACCACAGCGGCAGTATAAGGTGAGGTTCGCTTACCAAGATCCAAGTGAGGATCGCTGGTTCACGCGAGAGGAACTAATAGATTCTGCACCTCATATCGTGTCTGCATATGAAAGGGCAAGAAGAGGAATCAATATTGTTGACAGGTAGTGAATTTCTCAGAGGACTTCGAAACTAGGCCGGCGAGAGTAAAAGGGTCATTACCCGATTCAAACCCTGTTTGAGAAATGCAGCATAGAGGGGTCACTCGCCCAGAACCCCAACTCGTGAAAAGCAGATCAACAGGCATGTTCTGTGGGTCAAAAGTCACATCTTAACTAAAGTAAAAGTTAATGCTAAAGGTCACAGTTGTGCCCCTGGACAGTTGTAATATTCAGATATGGGAGTCACATCTGTTCATCCAGGGGGTGTGCAGGTCATGTCTGTTCGTGCAGTATGTGTGTCTGTTCGAACAGTAGATGTGTCTGTTCGTGCAGTATGTATGTCTGTTGAGCAGTAGGTGTGTCTATTCAAAGGAAGTCCAAAGGATAAAGTCCCAGTCAAGATTCGAGTCAAAGGGAGAGTCTAAATTCAGGCATCAAGTCCAAAATCCAGGCCAGATGGCTGCAGCAGCAGCAGACCCTGAAGGGAAGGTACTGGGACAGACACCATGCAGAGGTCTGGGACTGAAGGAGGCCCAAAGGTGCCAATGCAGACCTCGCAAAGGGAGGCCAGCAGTATAAAGAAGCAGGCCAGCCTCCCTTGAGGACAGATCCCCAGTGGCATTCTGGCGTGGAAGTGCTGAAGGCACTTGTGCGCTGGCTGGCTGGGGAGCGCTGGCAGGAGAAGCTGCGCTAAGAGAGGAAGAAGGCTGGGCGCTGGTTTGCAAGTGGCAGCCATAGCTGCCCAGATAGTTAATATAGTTAGAGGGTTATTAGTTAGTCTTCAGTGAGTAACATTCTAAGTAGATTCTCGTAGAAGGAGTGTGCATGCATGATGAGAGAAGAGAACTGAGACAGAGATCTTGAGGGGGAGAGAGAGAGAGAAGGGGCAGGTATACAAAGTCGGCTATGGTGGCAACATACCTGTTCTCCGTTTAACTTGTTGCTGAGAGGTGGCGCTGGCTGAGTGTTGCATACTGTAACGGTGCAGACCAGAACAAGAACCGACCTCTCAATACAAAGTACAAGATGGCGTAGCGGAAGACTTAGATACCAGCGATCCAAACATTCAATATTGCAATGCAGCCCTGGACATACATCATCATCATCGTTACATGGTGTGAATGGGGTCAGGCGCTTCACACAGGAAGACTGCGCCAGCCCCTACCATACACAGACGAAGAAGAAGGGGGTTGAACGAAGAGGAAGGGAAGATGGGAATGTCGTCAACACCAAGTCTTCGGCACAGGCCCAAATAGTCCCTCGTCGAAATGTTTGAATCCCAAATGTCAAGTCTGGATCCAATGTCGTCAAGTCCCAAGTCACAACTCTCTCTCTCTCTGTAGTAGTCCGCTGATACTGAGAAGTTAGGTGGTGAGAGGGGAAGAAGAGATGGTGGACTTAGAAGAAGAGGAAGAAGAACTCTCTCTCTCTCTCTCTCTCAGTCTAGTACAAACCTGTGAAGTTGGCGCCTTGATGCAAGTACCTCGAAGATGGAGCTGGAGCTATGGCGCCACAGGTAAGTCTCGCTGGCCTCCGCCAGCCATCTCTCCCAACTCTACTATCTACCACCTACTAGCGCCCAGCGCTGAAGACTACTGCTATGGCTACTAGCGCCCAGCGCTGAAGACTACTGCTAGCGCTAAGCTACTCCCTGCAGCGCTCCTCCTGAGTGCTGCGCTGAATCCTGAAGACTACTCGTGCCTACTGTCCAACTACCTACCCGTGAAGTGCATGGGAACTGCCTATGTACTACC